TTTTGTCAGCACAGCTGCAGGGCCATCCCATTAGCTGTGGTACGAGGGATTTTGTGAACTCTGCTGCTGTAACGCTGTTTTTGATACGCTCAATATTCTCTGTTACCTTTTCCACCTACTGAAATTTATGTTGGTAGATGCATTCAGTAAACCGAAAAATAAACAAATGTACTATCTCTCTGTTGAATGTCAGCACCTTTATGTGATCTGAAACATGGAAGAGCAAGCTGGGGGATAGCTTTGTTATGAAAGAATGGTGAGCAGTGGCAGAAACACAGCAGGAATGAAAGCAAACATGTGAATGTCACTGGTCATTTTCAGAATGGAAATATTCCATTCACTCAGATGCAGGCCTGTTGTGGAAATTGAAATGGATAATAAACCTAGCAAAATCATACAAGAGTTAATGTTTGCTACATTTAATTCAACTGGGTAAAGCAAGATGTCAGCAGCTGATGTGTTATTTACTAATTATTTATCAAGGAGCAGCTAAGTGGTCTCTCACCAAGGGTATAGATATTGCTGGTGACTATAGAAGTGCTAGACTGATGTGGAATAAAACAGCCCAACAAATAGGAAATATAGAACCTGACACTATCAAGACTAGTTATGTCCAAAGCCAAGACAGGTGCAGAACTGTAAATGGACACACAGATAAATAATTCACCCACCAGCTCACAGGGATGATCTGCCTGGTATAGCAAATATCAGACCATCAGGCGTGTCATGGAAGAAAGTGGAACTCAAAGGCAGGTGCTCCATTTATCTGCAAAAACTTTCTGATTCTTTTCTAACTACAGACATTTCTGGTTCCTTTCTAAGCAGCTGGAATTAAAGCTGTTCATGAGCTGCCACTCATCAACAAAGTAAGATTCCGCCACCCTGACTTCATGCAACAGTATCTCACAAGTGTCATTAAAACCAGCTGGTACATTTATGAACAGAAATGTTACTTGGCAGAATTTTTCCCTAATACATTAGCAGCCCTGGAGGCATTGTCACAGAGCTGTGCAAAGCCAGAAAAAGATTGGGTTTCACTTCCCACCTCAGATTCCCAGGAGCAGCAGGGATTACAGCAAGAAAAGTCTTTAGTGATTGCAAGAGATTTTCCTTATGTCACTTAATGGGATGCCCTCTGGCCAAGTGAACGTACTCTGTGGGTTCTGGATACAGCCAGGTGGAAATGCACAGTGTTTGTTCCTATGATACAGAGAAGTAAGGATGCTTCCACCTGACACCTAACACATGGCATATGGGCAACTATTACAAGTGATAAACAGAATGTCTGTTACCATTTTTCAAACATAAGCACGGGTGGCTAAAGGCCCAGTTTAAGACAATTCCCCTTTTAGATCCAAACAACAGGTGGAATAGAATTAGCATCATTTTCATAAGATACTTTATGGGTATTGTCAGATGCTCAGACAATGGGGCTGCTTATACATGCAGGAGTTTGGATATGGACTTTCTGTGCATTTAAACATAAAGAGCTACGATTCCCAAGTAGCTTTGCCAGTTGGAGGAGAGCCAAAGACACAGCTAAAGAGCTGTGCATGGAATTCAGATACCAACTCAGGGAAACACTTTACTCTCTGCTGTAAAGCTTTTTCATTGCCTCGTTCGTTAACCTTTCCTTGAGCACTAAAATACTCATTACCTTCTCTAGTGCAGTATGTTCATGCAGCATTATTTGTGATCACTGATGGTCACAGTATGGTGGTGTCCAGTTAGTATAATCCTCAAAATGGCAAACACAGTGAACCATTCTGGAGCTTAGTGTTGTCATGACAGCTTCAGACAACCTTGCTGCAGCTCCAGGGGAGGCTTCAAATGCTTCTGTGTGTGAAGAGTCAGCCTCATATTAACTTTATATCCACTATTAGAGAAATTTTATTTGACAGTGGATGTTCTTAAACATATTTTCTTCATTTTCCTTTTTTCTCTTTGCACAAACTTTCATAGACTTTAAACTCTACACAAGGATCCTACTACAGGTGCATGGGTGCTAAAATCACAGACTTCATCATGCTGATGATTCCTCACCTAATTGTGCTGGCCTGCCCTCTCATAACCAACCCCTACTCCCTGAAAAGAGCTGTAACAGATACCCAAATCCTGCAATAAAGCCCAGATCATTCTGCAGTGCAAGACTTACCAAGAACATTCTTCCTTGCAGCCCTACAAACACTATCATGATGATCCTAATCAGAAGAGCACAAGCAAGCTCCATCCGTTATGCCAGTGGTGTTTTTTCTTCTAAATATGTATTTGGTGTATGTATTTGGAAGACATATCTATGCAAGAATAAACCAATTCAGAAGCACCCTCTCAGGAGATCTGTATTTGAAAGGTGTAGAAGTACCTGTACAGCTTGACCTGATATCAATGGCATCAACAAGTGCTCAGTTCCAGACCTGGATATAATGGAGTCAAACAATGCACTGAAGACACCCTACAAACACATACACACAGCCTCAGGCACTGTGACTTCATTTTAATTTTTTTTTTATAATCACAAAGCCAGACTCCAGCTCAACAAACCCATGAAATGAAATCACTTTTCATTGTATTATTCATTTTGGATGTAAACTTCTTGTGGCAGACGTCACCAAAGGATTTCAGACATAGAGAGAGGTGTTCTTACATGGCTTTCAGCAGCAAATAATTAGGTATTTGCTCTCAGAATAATACACTGAATCTTTTGAGAAGTGTGTAAGCATAAAGGGGTTTTATACAGCAGTTTCACAGTTGGTAAATCAAACACATCTTATCAAAATGTGACCTATTCAAATGGCAAGTGATGTAGTGAAGAAAGATCATCCCTTAGCTGAGAACATGTTAAGTTCAGCAAAACTGTCAAAGCCCTTTAAGGCAAACAGCCCATTACAGACCATGAACGCTGTAAACTATTATCACTGCCAAGGTAATGTGGGATAATTTCCCCAGAACTGAAAAGCTGACATGTTGTCATTTGACTTTTCCTCAGAACTCTACAGATAGATCATCTGTGCAGATAACACACTCAGCACTAGGAAGGTTTTCTCTCTTCTCAGAACAGCCAACATAAAAGAGGTGAAGGGCAAGCCTGTACAGGCTACAGAAGTTACAGCAGCCAGAAAAAATACAGCAACAAAATCTCTTAAGAATTCCATAATTGTGTACTGCTCTGTGGTACAGAGCTTAGAAAAATCAACTGAAAGACTGGCACAAATCAGGACACTGATTTCTCTATCAACTGTACAGAAATATTACAGCATTGACTCCCAGCAGTGGAATCCACAATCCACAAGTTTACATGATTAGCTGCAGCCATTTAACTCACCAGGCGTTTGATCGATATCTCTGTCACACAAGAAAGGACACAAAGTGCTTTGGGAAATGCTAATGGACATCCTGAGGTAAAACTGCCTTATAAAAGCAGTTTCCCATATTTGTACACTAGAGGGATCTAAACCAGTGAAAGTGCTGCAGTTGCACAGGAGAGCTTACACAGGAGACACGTTCTGCATTGTTATCTCTATCTTTTAATTATAATAGCTGACCATAGGGCAAAAAAGGTTTCCCAAACATATAAGACTGTTAAAAAGCCAATACAAAAGCCTGAGGTTCCTCAGTAAAAAAAGTCAGCGGATTACTCACTGTACCTATCGGAACAGGTTTTTTGGTGCTCTTGCAAGTTTAAGAGTGCAGAGTGTCAATGACACCTTTAGGATAATTACTGTTTTCTCCTGGCATGAATCAGGTCCCAAATACATAATCACTTTGTAACAGGTGCAGATAGATTATAAAAACCAAATAGATATCTCATAGGAAACAAATAGAACACGAGCATCTAATGGAAAACAAATATTCCTTTAGACCTTCAAATGACAGTTGTGATATAAAATACTGCAAGAAATCAAATAATCTGGCACTTTCTACTCTCTGCAACTTTATCATATATTATCACATCTTATTGAGCTCCCACTGGTTTGATATCACAAAAATTGGTTAAAGAGAACATAGAGAGTTTACTGTGTTCAGGAGGCTGAAAAGAAATGTTTTGTCCCATTGGAATTTTAAAATAAATAGAAGTTTAAGAGACCATGGACCACAAAGTTAGTTTAAATCACTTACTGAGTGCAAGATCATAGTCACTGCTTTTCAAACTGGAACACATAGATCTGTACTATTGGGTATGAATAAGAGCTCTAGAGAAGCAGTACTTTTTTTTTATCGCTGTCCCTCATATGCCAATCAACAAAAACTGCAGTCATGTTTAACTACAGAAACTTGAGCTCATATCATAAGGATTCACGGTTTTTTGGTGCTCTTGCAAGTTTAAGAGTGCAGAGTGTCAATGATACCTTTAGGATAATTACTGGTTTATCCTGGCTGTAAAATTCACCCTCATTCAGACTTTAATCAGTTCATAAAAACAACTACTTATTGAACAGTGGCTTGAGTGAAAAAGTGTAGCTTTGCCAAAAAAAACTAAAAGCAAGAAAATTTCAAAACAATACAGAACACTGATTTCTAACATTTCTAAATAGAAATTTTTAAATATATTATTTGTTCCAAAGAAAACATCTCAAAATTTGTATTTCTTCACATATCTGACCTTTCCCAATATTTTATTATGTAAATAAAAAGATCCCCCCAAAAACACTGGGTAATGCCTGTCTCAGACATGTTTTTCGTATCCGCGTTTCAGAATCACCAAATAACAAAGAATTTCACAATTTGCACTGTTCATTTCCTTTACAAGGACTTTATCTAAATTCCATATAGCTCCTAAAATATTGTTAGCCACAAAAAATGCCAAAGGTTTCTGCATCAAGGTGCAATTCCCTTAAGCCTCACTTTGAACTTGCTAGGATATGCTCTGGCTGAATTTTATACAGATCAAGTTTGCTTTGAGATTCAAATTCAATACTTATGAAAATGACTTTGTTTAAAGCTACACTATTCAAAGATTTTTCTGCCCAGAAGAGCCCCTTTAACTTTCAAGCTGTACTTACTGTATTCACGTGAGCCTTGAGCAATCCCAGCTCCCTCTTCTCACTGCAGTATTGTTTATGCTCACTGATAGCTGTTCTCCAGATCTTGGAATTTTCTTCAATTGAATTCTGTCTCTAGAGAGTACTGATTCATCCATTTCCTGATAACACCTATGTTCTCTTTGGATTGCTAAGAGACACAGCAAATACTGCAAAAGGAAAAAAAAAAAAGTTTTAAAATTTTAAATACATTTGAACTTTGCTAAATTTACTTTTCTTATTCTTTCTTTAAATGAATATTCATTTAATTGAGTTTCATCAGCATGAACGGACACAGAAAGTAAATTTTTAATTTGCTTCTTTCAGGTACTCACACCAGCAACTAGACAGGTTAGATGTTTATGGATAATGAGGAGAAATACAAGTTTATTAGTGAGAACTGAATATAAAGCATGCATCCTCATGCTTCAAGGCATTACAAAAATAAATCCAGAACTTATATCCCTTAGTTCTATAAATAACATCTGACAGTGATTAAGGAGAAACTTTTCCTTCCCCTATTAGTTCCATAATTGCTTGATGGTACTGTATTCTGAAACAATTCTATCAGAGAGACAATGGACACATGCACACTCTGCTAAAGAGAAAACTAATTTGCATCACATATTCATTCCATGGTAACTGTGCATGTTTTCAGCTCACATAAAGGAGAGGTTGCTTATCTCTCAGTAAAAATAATGCAATTTATCTTGTATTTTCTCTTGGGTATATCAGGGTATGAATATGCCCAATGCTTCTCGTGTAGCAAACCAACTGAAAATTCTCTCAGAGTGCCTTGCCCAAGGGGTTGTACACCTTGACTAAAGGCCTTCCTGTTCTGCACAAATTTGCAGTTCAAACTTCTGTGTCAAAATGTACACTTGTCTTACAAACACCCACTTCAGAACACAGCCAGCAGTAAGTGAGTGCCCATACTCAGCTCAAATCAAACAAACTCTTACAGAAGAAACCTTTATCTGAGAAAGTTGCAGGTCTTTGAATATCTTACAATAAGAAAAAGATGCAATTCATTAATTAATTTATTCATTGTCATTTATCAGCAATAACCATTAATAGATGTCTGCAAGATGCAAATGGATCCCTTTCAATGTGCTTTTCAGGCAACTCTTTACAATACCATGGCATCTAAACAAAACGTTACAAGCTGACATCTTGGGATGTTATTTGATAATTCATATGGACACAGAAACTTCCTTCCCCCTGCCCATCAACTGGCAGCTCCAATCTCAGTAATCAGCCTGGCAGTTCAGCGTTATGAGTCCAGAATGAAAAACTAAGTATGCAGAAGCAGTTCCCAGTGGAGGGAGGGGATGCTACAACCTTTACACGCTCCTTTTTACACTGCCAGCTCTGGGAAGTCATCAATTTACATGACACTGTATCTTTCAGGCATGTACTGAGAAGCAGAAATGAATATGCCTTTGAATATTTACATTCAAACTTCATTTCCAATGTAAATTATCTAGAAAAAAAAGACTGGTTGACCATAAACATCTCCAAAAATAGTTTTTGTGAATAATGAACTTTTTCCCAGATAATTCTGTTTAGTGCCTTCGATATAGTAAATGCCGCAATAAATGTTTTTATTACAAGTAATTGCAAATAAATGATAGAATATATTTTATGGCCTTTCTCAAGGGGGTTATTCACACAGCCATCCCAGACAAGTGTTATTACTACAGACAAAAAACCCTGGACCATAAGCAAGACTGCACTGGGTGACAGACGTTACTGAATCATCCTACAGTTTCCCAGGAGATCAAGAGCTTGTCATCACAGCCACTTGCTACTAAAGCTCAAACACTTCAGTGATGAAAACCAAAGTGTTTTCACTGTTGGTGTCATAATGACATGAAATTATATGATGGACTTCCCTAAAAGATAAACTTTAAATGATGAAAAGTTTATGATGCATACATGCTCCCCATCCTTTGTTAGCATCCTTTCCCAGTTCCAACTTCTTCCAAACATCACCAAATATCTTCAGCTTTTTACAAAACCACGCAATAAACTTAGAAAAAAAATATAATGGATAAAGCTACATTTTCAGTTTTTTCTTTCATTTAAAATGGTGTTAGGGTATGTTTTGATAATAGGAAAACCCAGTATGCAGACAGGATAAAACAGATCCTCTTTTCTGGAATCTTCATGGTGATGTAACAACTAAGCAGATGAACAAGCTTTAACTAATAGGTCGACAAACAGTGAAAATACTTTAACTACTGCCATCATGAGGTCTGGAGGACAAAATATTTCATTTAGTCACCTATGGAGTATAGAATAGACTATGTTTGTCATTGTCTTCAATATATAAACGAATCAAAGACCTCAACTATATGGACCCTTTGGGGAGATCAGTCAGTCTCCTCATCCAGATGTCTCAGTTAAACTTTTAAGTGTCAATCAGTGACAGGTGATTAGATGGCTCTACACAAACTGGAGACAAGAAGCCTCATCAATCTCAACCACACTCAGCCCTGCCTAAACACAAGGCTCTGTCTAGGAACAGATGCCCAAACCCCATTGCCAAATCTTCAATCTGTACTTCTTAAATGAAGGATTTTTCAGTCCTTGTGCCTCCAAATTCTTCGTGCTTGCTCACTCCTTCTTGTTATCCCAAGTCCAGGAAAAGACAAATAAGGTTATATAGAAAAAAAAAATCAAAAGTTTATAACTGGGAATTAAAAACTTGTTGCATTCAATATCTTTCCCTAAAAGTGTTCCAGGTATTTCTCATAGGTACAGGAGCACTGAATGTTTTGCACAGCCACACATGGAACAGCACATGCCACACCAGCTTGCTGTACTCTGGTGTGTTTATCACAGTAGAAAAAAACATGCTAATTTAAACATGTATACACATATATTTTCAATGCGACAGCATGTAGGAGTGATTTCAAGTGTTCCCCAAATGAAAACAGCAATTCTGAACCAAGGTGCAAACCTAAAATTCAGATTAAAAAATCTTCTCCAATATAACCTTTTACGTTGTTGGAAGTAACTGATAAATAATGGCAGTCATTCAGCTTTTAATGAAAAATAGACAGCAGGAAAATTCTATGTTGAAAGACAGGGGGAAAGGCAGTTCTGGTTAAATATCACAACGTTCCACGTCAATTTTGCTGGTTTGCAAATGTAAACAATTTTTCCACAAAGCTTGGCAATCTAATAATCAAGGTGAGTTCTTCCAACATAATAATTTTTACTCAAAGGGACTCTGATAACTAAGTTTCCTCTGCTGAGTTTCAAATGGAATGATGAGAGTCAGATTTCACTGCAATGTCAGGTGTTATCGTGTCACTGCTTGCTTACTGAAAGATGAGTAGAATAACAAGCTTTGGGGAACAGGTGTTAAAAGTAGAAGAATTAAGAAATGTACACCTGAAGAGAAAGACAGAAGAAGCTTTCCCTCACAGAATATTATTCAATTAAGGTTGACATAGTGCTCCTGTTCTCAATCACTTGCACCATTGAAAAAGCTCTGATCATCTGTGTGATGTGTCCCCCTTGGCCTGACCTTTCCTGCAAAATTTCAGTCAAAATATTGCAGCAGTTCCTGAGAAAAAGGCTGGTGGAAATTGCATTTACTTAGAATGTTAAAAGATTCTGAAGACCTTTCTTTAAGAAATCCCATGCTTTAGAATAAGGACTTGCAAGCTGGCAGAGATCTTGTGCCCTTTGAATTCTCAGTGAAAAGCCACCCAGAAATGTTCAACTTCAAGCCTTGTGGTTTGTGCACAGCCAGTACTTCCTGGACTCAGCCGCTGTACTTCCCACCCTTTCTGTCTGTACTGGACATGCTCCAGGGACAGCTTTCAAACTCAAATATCAAGGGAAAGCACCGATCCTTCAGGGGAACAGTCTGGGAAGAGGAGCCTGGGGAATGAAAAAAAGACTGGATAAGTGTAGGGAAAAGTCAGATTGAGACCTAGACCATCTGGGCCAGAAGAAAGAAGATGGAAAGCAAACAGAGAGCAGGTAGACTGCTGAGCAGAGATACCAGGGTAGAATCCAGGAGAGGGGAGACAAAATGCTGTTGAAGAACAACTCCCATTTAGGACACATCTGGAAGTGAAGTTGGAGGAGTAAGAGGCAAAAGTGAAGATAAGTGATGTCCAACACAGAGGAAGTTTCCAGAACCTTCTCACAGAAGCTATCCTTGTACCCCCCCCAACCAAAACATCCTGCAATGTAATATCATTGTATAATGTTAAAGCTTATATTCTAAAGTGCATTTTTTAATTCTTTTCTCTAATTTCCTATTACATTCATTATTTGTATGATTTTACCACTTTCCTCTGAGGCAAATAGTCCCAAACTCTATCCATGTTTCTATGATATTTCCAAGATTTGTCTGACATGGGTGCTCTGAGCTCTAGCAAATTCTTCACTCCTGCTTCTGGGCTGTGGGGACTGGCACCTACTTTTGAATTGTTTAGCTTCTCTAGGCATAGAAAAAGAAAAATAGGTCAGGGAAGAATTGTAATGGATCACTACTGGAGGATGATTCCCAGTGAAATTGTCATTCACTTGGTCTTCTACTGTCCTTTTTTCTTTTTTGTCATCCTCTGTTAAAATTCAGCTCAGGAACTTCCAGGAAGACACCAAATTAACCTTTTTGGTGTTCTCCTTTATAGATCACCATATATTTAGCCCAAGTACTATGTTTGAATTTCTTTGGGAGAGAAAATGCAAGTGCTTTTGCAGAGCCATTCTATACTGAGAAGTTCTTTGCAAAACACTCACACATTTCCACAGTATTTTTATAATTCCTTAAGCATCAGATATAGATATAACTGTATATGGTAACTAGTAGACAATGTTTTTTAATTTATCTTTTCTCTAGACCTGTTATAACTAAACTCCCAGATTCACAGTATCTGACCCACTTAAGCCAAATCCCACAAATTTTTGTATATGATATTAAAGGACTCTTATAAGAAATAGACATCAAAAATAATGAGAAGTGTTGTATGTAGCCTGAATATCTATATAAATCCTCAGAGATTTTGTTCAACACTGAACAAAGATTCCAGTAAAAAATTAGCTGCAGAACCCTCATCTACCAATTCCCAGACTTGATAATCATTACATAAGCATACCTCTAAGTCCAGAAATGGCTCACCTGTCAAATGTTCTCAGCTT